CATTAGCCTAGTTTAGGAGCAAAACAGTAGGACGTTAAACCCCATTTCATTTCAATTCATTTCGATTCCTCGGTTGATCGTTTTATGATATTTCTTTCAAATAATTGAGAAAATATCATTAAACAGCCAATTATTTTAAAACGTAACCACTTGGGCCCGAAGGGGTTAAGGATTATTTTAACAGATTGACCCAAAAGCACGAATTTATACACTGACCTCTGATAGGATCTTGTTAGTTTGTTTCTAGTATCTTAGTAAAACTTTATATAAATGATAAACGCCAACAGGTGAAATAAAAATTCACAGTAATAAATACACGCTAATGGATTTTAAACACAATACAGAGAGAACAGCACGTCCCACTATTGCTCTGTTCCTACTGGGCTAATGAAGACGGGCATACGAAATGAAATGAAATGAAATGGAGTTTAACGTCCTACTGTTCTGCTCCTAACCTGGGCTAATGAAGACGGGCATACGCCATACAGTGTGCTATGAGGGAAATTTTGCCTGGGCAGCGGCGCTACGGCCTACTCTTATATCGAATTCCAATTGCCAAGGGATCTTTTACGTGCACGCCAATGTGTACACGGGACCTCGGTTTTTCGTCCCATCCGAACGACTAGACAGCTTTCCTTGTCAGTCCCTCCGTCCTGCATCACTGACGAGGGAGAACCACGCCGGAAAATCTGGATGAACTTTCTCGGCCAATGCAGGGATCGAACATCCGACCTCCTGGCTAGCGAGCTAGCGTCTTACCCACTTAGCCACGTGATCCCCAGACGGGCATACACCATACAGTGTGCTATGAGGAAAATTGTGGCCGGAAAGCGACACTACGGCCTACTCTTATATCGAATTCCAACTGGCAAGGGTTCTTGCTAATACAGAGAGGCATAAGCCATGCTGTTTGCTATAAGGGTCATTTTGACCGGGCAGTGGCGTTATATAGATATATAGTATATTGATATGGTACATGGCATATCATACCGAATCAAAGGAATTAAATAAGTAACAATGTTACAACAAGATTACAATATGTGAGAATTAAAGTTTACGTTATAATTTACTAATTTACTAGAGTTGAGTCCGGAACCGAAAGTACTATAACTCCTAAACCAGAAGCGGTAGTGCAGCGCCACCAGGTCTATCAGACTTCACGCTCCGAGCTACCCCTATACACACAATTTTAGCCTCAGGACAACCCTAGTCCAGCTGCCAACCCTGAACAGAGAGACACAAATGACAGTCACAAATAGTAGGATAGATAATGAAACAAAATAAAATATTAGATACATATGAATGAATGAATGAATGAATTTTATCCCCGTTATAATATTTAGGCACGTATTATCATGTTTGGAGATCGCCTTGTCACACGCACGACTACTTTTACCCTGTGAAAATCAATTCGCGAAAACAGCATTGATCTGAAATCTGTCAAAAAAAAAAGAAATAAATAAATAAAAAAAATAAATAAAGAAGAACGAAGGGGGTTTCAAATAAATGTTAGGGCATCCGTTACAAAACTTTATTGCCAGATGTGCTGCAAGGCATGGGACATCTTTCAGAAGATAAGTCAAATCTCATCGGGCTTGTAATTGAAATCAAATGTCAGTACGTGGCTTCAAACTTCCACAAAACATTTCACCAAAAATCAATGCAATGATTTCCGGTCTGGAAGTTGCCAGGACAAATTCCAAGACGAAGACATCTGAAATCCGATTAAACCCAGAAAAGAATTCACATGAAAACCAGAATCAATCATATTTTTTTGCTCGTCTTGGCGATTTTTCATATCCGTTCAAATTTAATTAGGGTTCGTGTATATTATGACTATTAAACGCGATATATTAGTTAAAGTATTGGACAGAGAAAGGATTATCAGGGATCTATTTTCGTTTACTAAAATACGTTTTATTGGGTGTTTAGCTGTAAAGTATTTGATGAATTTCTGAAAATAGCCCTATGCCATTTGTAGTCATAGTTAATATCCTTATATGGCGCAATGGCACAAAACAATGAAATGAAATGGGGTTTAACGGCCTACTATATCGAATTCCAACTGCCAAGGGGTCTTTTACGTGTACGCTAATGTGTACACGGACCTGGGTTTTTTGACCCATCCAAACAACTAGACCGTCCGTCCTGCACAAATGACAAGTGGAAACCACCCCTGAAAATCCCAATGAGCTTTCGCGGCCAACCTGCGACCCTTTCATTAGTTGCGGGTTAAAATCTTAGAACAAATTTCTACTCTTAATCAATGAAAAAGCTGCTTTCTTAAAAGTTTTCGTGAATAAGGCCTCTGGGGTATAAATCAAGTAAATTTTATTTCATCTCATGATCTTACAATGAAAACCGCGTCGTCTGGAGGCGGAATTATTGTAATATCGTTGTTCACTCATCTCAGATGACTTTAAGGTGACTGGGTAACATTTCAATGTTATTAAAATAATAGTTATGTGTGTTAGTGTACACCCTATGAATGCTTAACACCTATTTGTATCATTGTAATAATACTGATCACCAATTAGCCTTACTCCTGCCTTATAGATATGTAATTAATTATGGCTTCGGTACCTTGTAACAACTTAGGGCTCTGTCATCATTGCTTTGATCAGTGCTAGTTATATATACGGTCTATATTTATGGCCTCTTTTTATACTGTATATAAATACTTGATGTTTTACATATATGTTATCATTTATACTGTATATAAATACTTGATGTTTTACATATATGTTATCATTTATACTGTATATAAATACTTGATGTTTTACATATATGTGGGTTGTCTACGATATCACCTTAGGTGGAAGTGGACGTAAAACCCCAGAAACGAACGAACGAACATATATGTTCTTTTGTCTGCGATATCACTTATGTGGAAGCAGACGTTAAACACCAAGAACTACTACTACATATATGTTCTTGTCTACGATATCACCTTAGGTGGAAGTGGACGTAAAACTCCAGAAACGAACGAACGAACATATATGTTGTGGGGGGGGGGGGTATGGCCTAGTGGTCTAGAGTGCCGCGCTTCGACCTCTAGCTGGCCGGTCACCTCTGGCTTGCGGTTGTGATTTCGATCCCTGGTGTGAGCGTATGTGGCTTGGAGATAGGGGCGCCATCTCAACCTCGTGGGTTTACTCCGGGTACTCCGGTTTCCTCCCACAGCAAAGACCCCTGCGCGTGCGCTAAGATCATTAAAATGAACTTGTCTGCGATATCACCTTCGGTGGAAGCGGACGTTAAACACTAACAACAACAACAACAACATATATATATATGTTTTACATATATGTTATCATTTGCTTGATAAAGACGAGAGTATCATCGTCGAAACGTTGCATGTTAATAAACCAGTAATTGTTATTCCATAAATAGTGTTAGTGTGTATACTGTTCAATTACTAAATGCCACTTAAAGAAGATCTGACAATCGTCTGTTAAAAGATGGCTGCTCCCATGGACATGGTAATCTCAATTTATTCTGCTTTAGACCTCGCGAATACCCCCCCCCCCAAAAAAAAAAAACCAACCTTAAGCCCAAGGAAGGTCTATAATCTCTCCACGGCGAATAATGAATCGCTCTAGCTATATGAAGTTATGTTATAAAACAATAATGCTTTCATGAAATTAAACTTGCGCGACTAAAATTCCTTGTAATTTGACTTCACATTTTGCATAACATAAATATTAAAATAATGCGTATTTTTTAGACTTACGTAGATTCAGACATAACATACGAGACCAAAAATGTATGCTCATAGAAGTCGCAACCATTTAAAATTCTTTCAAGCTTTCCTAAAATCATATACTCAACAAAAATAGATTCTTTCTAAATATTCTACACTTACGTTTCATTGACACACGCCATGTTGGAACTACTCCAACCATATGCCACAATAGTTCATTATTTTCGGACTAGGGTCCGGACTAAATGAAATTCGGATTCAGTTAGTTCGACCATAGTCAAGAAATCACGATAACCGAAGGTCGGCCTAAAGATCTGTATTACTAGTCGACCACACCCATCTCTATATATACCTGGGAGCCACGATTGCTCAGTGAGTAAGTCATTGGCTTGATTTGGATAACCTCGTGGTCCTTGGTTCGATTGTGGTGTTGGGAGAGAAAGTTCCTCAGGATATTCCGACATGGTTCATCCTTGTATGTACGTGGTGCAGGAAAGAGGGCCTGGCAACAGTGTCTTGTTCAGATGGGATGAAGAGCCCAGGAACCATGTTCACATTGACGTGCATATAAAACAACCATTGGCAGTTGGATTTCCCTCATATCATAGCACACTGCATGTCGTCCAATGCCAGTCTTCATTAACATGGTTGGTGAAAAAAAGTAGGATGTTAAACCTCATTTCATTTCATCTCTCTCTATACACAATATTATACAAGAAATGAAACGAAAGAGAGGGGGGGGGGGTCGTAACGTCCACTCGACACAAACTAGTTCATTTCGGTTCTAACATATGATTCAGTTTTATTTCAATAATTCGTTAGCGCTTAGGGGTTTTTAGCAGTGGGATGAAACCGGAGGACCCGGAGAAAACCCACGAGGTTGGACAGGCGACCCTACTCCTTGCCACCTACAACCGGGGATTCGAAACCATGCCAGTCGACTCAATGACAGACTTTATGATACAGCGCGCGCACGCTAACCATTTAGCCACCCAACCCCCCTAATATTATACAAGAAATGAAACGAGAGAGAGGGGGGGGGGTCGTAACGTCCACTCGACACAAACTAGGTCATTTCGGGACTAACATATGATTCAGTTTTATTTCAATAATTCGCTAGCGCTTAGGGGTTTTTAGCAGTGGGAGGAAACCGGAGGACCAGGAGAAAATCCACAAGGTTGGACAAGCGACCCTACTCCTTGCCAGGTACAAGCGGGGAAGAAATGAAATGAAACAGGGTTTTAATGTCCTCCTGTTCTTCTGCAATGATTGGGCTGATGAGAACAAGAAACAAGGGTTGCTTACACTATTATTTATTTTCAAAATGTGTACACCTGTAGTTGTACTTGTATGGAGTACATTATAATAAATATAACACTACATTATATCTTCTGTACAATTACAAAAAAAAAAAAACTTCCAAAATCTTATTGGGTAGGAATCATAGGTGCAATACTCCTTGGATCTTAATAATAGCTTTACTTGTATTATAAAATCATTTTCAAATAAGTGAAAATAAAAACTCAAATTATTATCATGACAATACTCTAAAAATACTAATAAACTATTACAATTTGAAGAATTCAGAAAAATATTTGAGCCAGGAAAAGTTTAACTATCTGGCATTCAAGAGCTGCAAAGAATCTCTATCCAGGGAACAGAAAGCACTCCAGGATTTGAATGATTAATTTTCTGAATCCTGATGTATGCAAATCTCCTGAAATGGGAATTTGTTTTATGTTTGGGGAAACATTTATACGCTAGACATACAAATAATATCTAAATACTCAGAACTGTAATAATCCAACAGACAATTAATCCATCACCATTGCGTTTAAATTTCAACTAAAGACTTTCCTGTTTGAGGTGTTTCCATAGTTCTATAGAGATAAATTGAAAAGCGTAATAAAAGTATTAATGTATTTACTCGACCATGTTATCACACATACCGAACCCATACTAAATTAGAATTAGCTCCACTTGAGAACAGACACTAAGCTAGTTGACCGACATTTTAAGTCCTAAATCGACGATTTTAGTCGAAAACACTAAGTATACTTCCAGAATTTTGTTAAGTATTTATTCTACTTCCATTTAATAAAGTTGAAAAAGTGTATTTAGTCATTTTGTATATGACAGATGTGCAACTAGTAGAACCGCATTACAAAACAGTATACTAATTTTTGAATATGGCGACCATTCAGGACAGAGATCTATTCTCAAAGTATGAAGTAGGTGGATCTCTCTGTGCAGAATGATGGTGACCCTTGATATCATAGAATATGAGCAATATCATAAATAGCATGTGTGCAAACACTCTCATATAATATTAGTACTATCAAGTATGGGATGTTAGATTCGCATATAGATGAATATAAGCTTCTAGGACAGTCATTATTGACTCAAGGTTGAGTGGATTTGTTTTTGTACTGGATATGATGGAACAATGATTTGCAAATCTTACTACTTTTTAACATCAATACCTCTCAACTAAATATATTATTATTATTACAGATCAAGATTGTAGCTCTTATATAATGATGTATTTTATATATGGGATAGACTAGATAATTTCACCAGTTTTAAAATATACAATGATGTCAATTTTAGTCACTCTTTTAAAAAGAAAATAACTATAATTCATATACCCCAGTGGCTACATGTTCTCCCCAGTTATCAACCAGATCGAAGGGTGGAGCTTAAATTGGATGATCTTAACATTTCTATTTTCTAGACCTTATCCATTTAGACCTGCCAAGTATTTGACAGCTGGTCAGACCATGGTAGAAAATTGGTTCAGATTAAAGATAATGGACTGATTTCTAACAGTACTATATTCTAGCAAATTTAATAAGAATTTTTTTTCGCTCACCATAATATATCCATAAATGCGTAAAATATAATTGTGTAGGTGGTGATTGAACTATTACAATAGGTGCCAACTGAATATGATTGATTTATTTCAAATAGCTGGAAACAGTCTGACAAATTCAAATAGTCTCAGAAACAGTCTGACAATTTCACATAGACTCTCAGAAACAGTCTGATAATTTCACACTGTCTCAGAAACAGTCTGATAATTTCAAATAGTTTTTGAAACAGTACGACAAATTCAAATAGTCTGAAACATGGCTACATTCTAGCAAATTTAATGAGAATTTTACCATCAAGAAATGCATCAAATATGATTGTGTAGATGGTGATTAGAATATCATTACAATTTTTTTTTGTTAATTTTCTGTAACAATTTTTCTCTCTAGACTCTTTAACTTTAAAATATATCATATTATATTTAAAAACATCTTGTATGAAAAAAAAGATAAAAATTCAAAGCAGAATCAACTTAAAAGTTGTCTAAAAAAATATCTATAAGCTAAGTATTGACAACAAAACATAAACAAAAAAATTAAGTCACAATTATTAGAAAATAGCATTATACAGAACAGATAATAGTGTTTGTATAATAAAAAACACACTTACATTAAAAAATATGTAATCTATAATTGTTAGCAGCATTTGATATTGGGGCAAATCAGAATTTAAACTGGACAAAAAGTAATATTATTTCTTTATTTTCAGTAATTACAACATCAGATTAAGAAAATCAACAACATGTTTGTCAGGACGAATAAATCAGTCTTGTGTTGATGGCTGCCAACACAAAACAACTGAAAATGAAAGTAAGCTTTTAGTGAACAGTCTATGAAAATATATATGTCTCTGTATTGCTGTATATTAAGTTTTATTAATTCATTTCAACATATCTAGGAACCGTAGCAAAGTTTCAACACTGGCATCAACCAAATAACTTGCGGAATTGCGTGAGATGGTTGGACGACATCGCAGATAGAAAATGATAAGTTTAATGTCAGTTACTCATCCGCACAGATGGGCAGGTGGCTCAAGATCCATCCATAGTTGATTTGTTTGGATACAAGTGTTGTAATTTTGCGACTGTCTCCTAATTTCATTGAATTATTTATTGAATTATTCATGGCAAATAAGTAGAAACTGTATTGAAATATATATGTGACATATCTTAATACTGAAAACTGAGCAAATTATCATAAAGTATTCTTACTTCTATATAGAGATATACTGAATCAATAAATATCAAATTTTTTTCTTCTAAAAAGTGATTGCCTATACAGAGTATTCATAGTGAAGTTTTATGAATAAAATGCTATCTATAGTTGCCGTCTGACCATCCGTCTGTCGCTAAAACATATTATTTAAACCCTGTACATACAAGTATTATCGCGCAGGTTTTGATATCCGTAATTCATTTACTACCAAACAATGTCATTGGTCGTCGCAAAAAGCTTCTTAACTTTTAGGTGGGCTGCTGCTAATTGGTGGCATGGTTTCCATTTTGGGTGGAGAGGATCCGCCATATTTTGGTGGACTCATTGAGTAAATACCACGAGGTTGATCTGCTTCTTCCATGGATTGACTTCTCATTCGGCCAACTGGTAGGACACCTCCTTCAATAGATGCTGACCTCTGAACTCTTGGCATAGGTACACCACATCCTGTAATTTTAAGCAAAATCTTTTAAAATTTCGACATGGCAAATATGGCAACACTTACGGCTAGCTCCTGGAACCATTCACTTGATCTGATGTGTGTATCTGTATATTGTGTTCTGTCTATAGTTTTGTGTTGTTTAATTGTTTGTGTGTGGTGCGGTCCCCCTACAGAGGTTGATTGATTAATCAATGTCTGACGCCATAGGGTCAAAAGCCGCTGGTACGACCACCGAATCGACCTTCCACTAGAACCGGTTAGATCTTCATGTAGTGTAGGCCATTATTTAAAAGTATAAAAAAACAAAACGAAATATAGATCTGTATTTTAATCCGATTGAAAGTTTCGGGTTATACAACACTTCCAATGATTCCACCTCAACTTAAAATCTGTTGGTACTACTGTTCTGGGGATTTTCCACTTTGAAAAGTTGCTCCGTAATAAACATTAATTGTATTCCATAAAATTGTGCTGTTCAAGACCAGAGAATCGTAGTCGAATTCTCACTAAGTAATCAACAGTAATTGTATGCTATAGAATTATGTCCTTTGTATTTCCACTCAATTAATAAATGCCATTGAAAATTCGTTGAGGGGTAGAAATACCTTGAACGAAACTTGAACGCTTTGGTGATAGAAGTTTCTGTGTTGCCACACCTCGGCTCTGGAATCAACTACCATCCAGAATCAGAGGATTTAAAACTTTCACTGTTTTCAAATCACAACTTGAGACTTATTTATTCCAAATATATTATCCAGAGTAGTAACTTTTATTTTGGTGAGACTCATTTGTGTTGAGCTTTGAGCATGAATTTTATGGATGGAGTATAGTACATTATAAATATACACATATTATTATTAGACCACAGCCTGGAACGATTAAAAGTCATCAGAAAACAACAACTTGCCACTTACCAAAACCCTGTCCTTGTAAAAAGTATAAGAAACTTTCAGCAAACTTTTCTGGCTGCAACACAAAAAAAGATAAAAATTTATCATAAAATGTCACTAACCCATCCAAATTAACTATTCATAACAAAACACAACACAAGATATATATGGATATAACTACTTATCTAGATATAACACAAGGTATATATGGATATAACTACTTCTCTATTATTTAATAACAACGTTTCGTAACACATACAGGTCACGTTTTCAAGTTAATGAAAAGTATACATCCAGTCAGCCTTGTGTTTTGTTCTGAATAGAAACCGAAGATGTCATTCTCTCTCATCTATTTCCAGATATCACTAATTTTGCACCCAAGGAGGTTATTTTCTTCAGTCTTTCTTTCTCCAGCATAACCTCAGTTTGGTGCTTTATCCTACACATAAAACCTTGTTCCACTTCTCCTCTGCAGAAAGCATGACAGCATGTAAGTAAACAGGGATCTTAATCGGTTGATTATGGTCGGCTTCAGCTGCTTGATGTTTGAAAAAGCTGATTGGTAAAACAATGAACCAGCCACTATGGTATCATAAATCTATCTACTTTCGGCTAAATTATAACAGGTTAATTATTAAGAATTCAATCAACTTGCTTAGTTACCCTATTTCCTACCAGGAGTTCTTTTGACCAATTCTGGCTGGTTTGTTTTAAAATGGATTAGGAACCATGTAAGTATGTGTACTGTACCTACCTTTTCCTCCAAAACATTCGCCACATCCAACACTTCAAGAATTTCCACATTCTTTTTAGGTAGGGTTGCCTGCATCTTTTTATGTAATGACATGAATGGTTTATAAAGATATGCCAGAGTTCCAGTTATCATCAATACAGGACATCTGTTAATATATAAGATAGGACAGAATATATAAACTTACTAGTTCTACACATAACCCAGGTTTTGGTCAAATCCTGCCAGATAAGGAAATGAAATGAAATGAAATGGAGTTTAACGCTCTACTGTTCTGCTCCTAACCTTGGCTAATGAAGACAGGCATACGCCATACAATGTGCTATGAGGGGAATTTTGCCCAGGCAACGGCGCTACGGCCTACTCTTATATCGAATTCCAACTGCCAAGGGATCTTTTACGTGCATGCCAATGTGTACACGGGACCTCAGTTTTTCATCCCATCTGAACGACTAGACAGCTGTCTGTGTCAGGCCATCCGTCCTGTATCAATGACAATGGGAAACCACGCTGGAAAATCTGGATGAACTTTCTCGGCCAATGCAGGGATCGAACACCCGATCTCCAGGCTAGCGAGCCAGCGTCTTACCCACTTAGCCACGTGATCCCCGCCATATAAGGACAATCTAGCATAAACTGTTAACTATCATGGGGGTGAGAGGATGGCGTAGTGGTCTACAGTGTCGCAGTTTGAGCTCTGGCTGGCCAGTCATCTCTGGCTTTCGGTCGTTGTTTCAATCCCTGGTTTGAGCATATTTGGTTTGGAGACAGGGGCACCTTCTCAACAGCACAGAGTAAAGACCCCATAAATAAAACAACCTGTCTATGATACCTCCCTCGGTGGAAGCGGATGTTAAACCCTAAAAACAACAACATGGTTAACTGTCATCAACTGTCATTAATAATTTACTAAGAGCAACCATTTAACTACAATATATGATTCCATTTCTCCCTATTTTTTTTTACAAGGATCTCATAGAAGATTTGATTTGGATAATTGGTTATGGCAAGGAGTCATACCACTGGTCAAGTCCAGTCAGATAACCACTATCTAGTGTTAATTGTCATCAACGTCATTGATAATTACTGGAGCAACCATATGGACCACAGGATATTATTAATTCCTACGCTAGTTACTTAACCACTTGTTACTTATACATTATGCAAGAGCTAAATCTGCCTATTCCAGGTTTTTCTTTAGGCCTGAAATGTTATCTAAATTATTATATAGACATTAATTAACAAAGTGACAAGAATTAACATTAGATTCAGTGGGGAAATTAATGGTGTACCATAGTCATATTACTACAATATTTGATACCATTTACCCCCCACGTTTATTTACAAAAAGGGAGCCATGGTGGTTAAGTGGGTAAGACGCTGGCCTGTTAGCCTGGAGGTCGTGTGTTTGATCTCTGCATTGGCCGAGAATGTTCATCAGGATTTTTCGACGTGGTTTCCCCCTGTCAGTGGTGCAGGACAGAGGGCCTGACAAGGACAGCTGTCTAGTCATTTAGATGGGACAAAAATCGAGGTTCTGTGTATACACTGGCTTACACATAAAAGATCCCTTGGAAGTTAGAATTCGATACAAGAGTAAGACATAATGGCCATCTTCATTATCCTAGTCAGAGCAGAACAGTGGAACTTTAAACCCCATTTCATTTCACTTCATATTTACAAAAACAGCATAGAGATCTTTCTGAAACCAAAATTCGAGAATAGGACTGTTACATAAAACGAAAAAAAAATTATGCATTCAGATCTCTCTCAATGATATGAAGAGAGTCAGATAAAAAGTTCTCTTCGTGATAATGCTGGTCAAAATGCAGAAGAAATCCATAACAATTATAATGATGTCTGAATATTTCTCATCTCAAAACAAATTTAAGCATCTATCAAAACAATATCAAGGAAATCTGCATGAAATGGAAAACAGCAAAATTACAGACAAAATATGTTTTATCTGAGAAATGGAGAGTTAGGTCTGATACAAGGAATTCAGGATAATGATTTTTATACACATTTCACGAAAATAGTAACAGGTCAACATACCTTATTTTTCCAACTGATTCAGCAATGTTAGTTCTCCTGAAAGAAAGAAAACACATTATGTTTTAATATAATCTTTAAGTGGCATTTAGCGATTGGGAAACACAACATTAACAGAACACAGTTTTTATGGGAAACAATCACTGGTTTATTCTAAAAGCACGACGTTTTGACAAGTATCCTCTTATAACACAGTTTTCATGGGAAACAATCACTGGTTTATTCTAAAAGCACAACGTTTGGACAAGTATTCTCTAAAAGCACGACGTTTTGACAAGTATCCTCTTGTACGAAAAGAGGATACTTGTCGAAACGTCATGCTTTTAGAATAAACCAGTGATTGTTTCCCATGAAAACTGTGTTCTGTTAATGTCTTAATATCACACTGATAATTATATTCATCTACAGGAACATTACTCAATATGTAGGTTGGTGATTCACAGGGTCAACCCCTTGAAAGTATGCGCCCAATCCCATACGCCCCTAAGTCTCAAGTATATGACCTAGTATACTCTGAAATGTGAGAAAGGAAGATATAGTAAATGGGATTTATATCTGATTTAACCCCTTGGTCATTTTGGGACTAACATATGGTTCAATTTTCTTTCAATAATTTGCGTGTAGGGGTCTTTAACAGTAGGAGGAATCCGCAGGACCCAGAGAAAACCCACGAGGCTGGACAGGCGACCCTGCTTCTTGTCATGTACAACCAGGAAATCAAAACCACACCAGTTGACTCAATGACAGATCTTATGATACAATGTGCACGCGCCAACCATTCGGCCATCCAACCCCCTTTTTTTTCAGTGGTTACAGCTGTGTAACAGTTTGAGTTATTATACTCACTGACCTGAACCTGCATCAGGCACATCCATTTCTAATCATGTACAAGAAATAAAAACTGCAAGATCATCACAAACTTACTTCATAAACGACTGTACAAATCTCTTTAAGTTCCGAGGATTAATTTTAGATCGAAGAGAGTCTTGAAAAGCTTCAATAACCTTCGCTAGCTGCTCTTTATTTTCAGCTTTATCAATCTGCAAAACAGAGATAAATTACAAAATCAATTTAAAGGTCGAAAGTGCATGAAAGTCTTAATACTCGAGTTTTATAGCAACATGCTAATATTAATATTTTTTATGCTTTGTTATTCTTTGCCAATGCACATAAACAATAGAAAATTATTTTTTGAGTAATAATTTTTGTTTTTACATGTCTTTAGTAAAAGATATAGGTCATTTCTTTACACTTATGTTATAGTTTCATTCCGTTAGTAAAAAGAATTTATATAAAAGTTGTTTTTTTCAGAATCATTATCATGCTTTTTTTACAATCTAGCAAAAATACATCAAAATCACTTCCACTTGAAAAACTGACTAGATCTATGCTACAACGACGGATTAAAATTAATTAATCGAAAAAAATCTAAGGATTAAAAGTGCAAGAAGTTAATAATTCTAACAAATGTGTTATTGTTTGTTAAAATGTTGATATAATAATGGTCAATGGGTTAAAATAATATCACACTGCAAAACATGTCTAATATATAAATACAGCAAATTATGAGGTATACTCAGCCTTCTATAGCCATACAAATTAATAGCTCGTGCACGGGAGCTGGAGATTATGATAATGCCCTTAGCTAAGAATTTAGATTTAAACTGATATTTTTTGCATTCCTTTTCACATATAGGTTATAATTAGTCACTTACTGGATATATTATTGATATTTTTTTGCATTCCTTTTGACATACAGATTAAAATTAGTTACTTGTTTACTTGTAGAAAAAAAAATCTTTCTGGTTATAAAGGGCATGAAAGACTAAGAGGGAGAGAGAGAGAGAGAGAGAGAGAGATATTAATGTCCACTCGACACAAACTATGTCATTTTGGGACTAACATATGGTTTAAATTTTTATTTCAATAACCCGCTAGCGCATAGGGGTCTTTAGCAGTGGGAGGAAACCAGAGGACCCGGAGAAAACCCACAAGGCTGGACAGGCGACCCTACTCCTTGTCATGTACAACCGGGGATTCAAAACCACGCCAGTTGACAGGCCTTATGATACAGCGCGCACGTGCTAAACATTCGGCCATCCAACCCCTCTAAGACTAAGAGAGAAAGGTGCTTTAATTTCACATAACACTAATCAGGATATTGTGGAACTAATGTATGGTATATATTTATTTTAATAATTTGTTTAGGGTCAGAGGTCTTTAGAAGTGGGAGGAACACAGAATACCCAGGGAAAATCAACAAGTTAAGGCCGACGATCCTCTTCTCATAGTCAAGTACAACATCAGAATGAAATGGGGTTTAAAGTCCTACTGTTCTGCTCCGACTGGGCTAATGAAGACGGGCTATGAGGGAAATTTTGTACGGGCAGTGGCACTACGGCCTACTCTTATATCGAATTCCAACTGTATGCCAATGTATACATGAGACCTCGGTTTTGACAGCCTGATTTTTCAAAAATGTTAAACAGTAGGGCCAGTAGGGGTAATGGAAAGACCAGTTAAGGGCATTGTCTTACTTTCCAACACTTAAGTGCAATTTATCTTATATTTATATTGTACAATAACAAACTGACTGTCATCCAATTAATTCAAGTTGTATATACATGTATACGAACAATCATTTCATCTTAAACTTGAACCCGACAATGGTTTTTGTTTATTGGCAAGTGGATTCAAGAAATAGATGATTAGTACATGTATTGTAAAACGTTTCCCGAATATGAATAATCATTTCATCTTTACTAAATCCTGTATCTGACAATTGTTTTTGTTTATTGGTAAGTGGAATCGAGCTATAGATAATTTTGTTGATATTAATATTAGTTGCGTAAAAAAATAAGCAAAATTAATATTAAACAATAGGGTAACAGTTAATATCAATATAGTTTATCATAGGTGGCGAGTCAAAAAGTCGTATCACGCATATTTTACGAAATTCACCATTTTTCTTCTTCAGAATAAGAATTTTCTTGTGCATCTTTTCATCTAGTTGTCGTAGTCAATAAAAAGTGGTTTAATAGATATTGTTTCAAAATGTTGTATATGGAGTGTTCCTAAAACGACATCAATATTGAGAGAAAAATTTGCATATTTCCTTGAAAAATCAACTTTGTGTCTTACCAAAGCATTATAATCCAACCAAACGTAGGCTACCCAGTGTTGTTTTATGGTTAGTTACATATTTTGGAAATAATTGTTGAAATTTATGGAATTTAAGCAGGTAAAGGTGAATTTATTCCTGAGATACGTCTTTGCTGTATAAAATTGCAAATAACTAGCTTTCACTCTTTATTTCTGCCCTAGATGTTTAGCCCGAAATGCGTGGATAGCTACATACTGTTCAAACGGCTACACATACATTTTTTACAGAAATATTTAAGAAAATCTTTAAAAATATGTCATTTCACATACAACATTTTGACGTGAGGTTTCTATATCACATTTTGATTCTTTACCTCTCCTGGACAATTTTGTAAAACTCAGAGATACGACCTTTTGACTCCCCACCGACATTTTACTAATATGGCTACAGTAAAAACATATACCAGCCATTACAAGTAACATCCAAAAATACAAATCTAAATAAATCCAATACAAGAAGACATCTAGTAGACTCATGGACTCAATTAATATCTGTGTGAAGTATTCTATTCGCTTTCTAGAACATCTCATATCACTTCCCATTTGAAGAGTTCCTGTCACTAAATATATTTTGTTGCAAGTTTGCATTGAATTTACTAAATGAGTTTTATAATTCTGAATTTAATGTTTTATTTTGAAAGAACTAGCATTTTAGTTCTTAATTACGTTTAATTTTGAAAGAACTAGCTTAGGCCCTATATATATGGTGATTTTTATGGACGAGTGCCATGCTAATGATGATCTTGACACTGTATATGTATAGTGTTTTGTCTGATATTATTCCACAACGCCAGACTTTTCAATCAAGTTCACATTGTCAACACGTTTTTTTTCTACCATTTCAACAACAAGCCAAGTTTTTGATGTCCAAATGCTATAAATAAATAACGGGGGTCTACCAGGCAAACTTTATAAAAATTTTGTTATAGAAGTCAAGTTAGCTTAATCCATAAATACTTTACTGTAGAAGGGGAGAGAGAGAGAGAGAGAAATGGGGTTTAACGTCCACTCGACACAAACTAGGTCATTTCGGGACTAACATATGGTTTAATTCTATTTCAATAACTTGCTTGCGCGTAGGGGTCTTTAGCAGTGGGAGGAAGCCGGAGGACCCGGAGAAAACCCACGAGGTTGGACAGACGACCCTACTCCTTGTCACGTACAACCGGGGATTCGAAACCACGCCAGTCGACTCAATGACAGACTTTATGATACAGCGCGCGCACGCTAACCATTCAGCCATCCAACCCCCCTTACTGTAGAAGGGAAATAACTCCTAAGTTGTATTAAATGCTCCATCTACATTTTTAATTCCAGGATTGATCAAAATGGCATTTCTATACATCTATTTCTTTATCTTCCTATGTCTTATTCTCTAGTATATGATTTTACTCGTTCTCTTATGGTCAATGCTGGGATATGAGCTTTAAAACAATTTTCATTTTGGCAATGTGGATTAACGTCAACACGACACAGATTTGGGGAATAACATATGGACATATGGTAAAATTTGATTGCACGTAGGGGTCTTTAGCATTGAGAGGAAACCAGAGGGCCCATAAAAACCCATTACGTCGACGGGCAACATTGATCTACTCCTTCTCCACTGGACTTAATACAGACCTAATAATCTCAATCGCAAACGTAAGACCATTCAGACATCCATCCCAACCAACGTTAAACCCCCATTTCTATTTATAGTATCCTGTAAATCTGGAAATCCCCTTTTAAACATTACTGTATGTTCAACTATGTTTTTCTTCTTTTTCATGGCAGACTGGTTTGGCTTTTGTTATTTTCATATTCTATTTTCTAAAATATTCACTAGCTTCTATGATCATATCATCTCAATCAAATCATCTAACAGTCTAATAAATGTTTATATATTTCCACACATATGCTTTGTATTCTAAGCTAAATCCAAACCAAGATTCTTTTAAATTCAAATATGATTTAGTAATTATGATATGGGAATGTTAAAAAGTGTTAATATTGGTTATCTCCCTTTGTTAGTATCAGTCAATGAATAACCATGGTATTATTATTATTATTATTATATGTTTAGGTTTGCTATATGTATATAGAACCTAATCTATAATAATAGCCCCAGTTTAAAAATTCTACTAATAAATAGAAAATAAAAACTATTTAAGGTGAGATGAGCTGAAATGAGGTGTGCTTTTTACTTTACCTCAGTCTTATGTCACAGAAGATAATATGAAAGAAATTAATTAACATTAATTAACATTAATTAGTCAAAATATTCTTCAATAAGAAAAAAAAACTCTACATAAAAATTATACAAAAAAAAATAACTATTTTTTTTTTTTTTTTCTGGATATGCAAAAGTTTCGGTGAGATCCATTAAACTTTAAAAAAATTTCATAATCTGACTTTGGTACCATGTACAAACAAAAGTTTGTTGGTTCCATTGTTCAAATTCATTCTTCCCCCTTACAAGGTATTCTTATTTCTATCCAAAATTTGGCTGGTATTAATTTATTCATCCAATAGAAGGCACACTGCCCAATATTTTATTTACAACTATTTCAAACCTAAATTAAGAAATCAAGAAATTCAGATAAAATATATTCTAAACAAATATAACCCAAAATATAAGTAATTAATATTTAAATTATTCCAAATTGTTTTTTCAAAATACGATTCATCAAGAATTATAAAATGAACAAAACAAAATTAAAAAGTAACACATCTGAAACAAAACTGAAATTAATGGACTACAGAAGATAATATATATGTACATATATCAAGTACAAAAAATAAATTAATAAAATAACAAAATATAAACAAATTAAAGAACGGATTATAAACAAAATCAAAAATGCACCAAAAGCGCTACATACATTTATATATATATACATGTATATTTTCAAACGAAACAAAAATAAACTAAAATGGAAAATTTACATTTTAAAGCATGGATATATACGTATATATGTGTTTTTACAGAGCAGCAGCATATATATAGACATAGCTACCATATTTAGAATACAACATCTATCAGAATTTATTATGGGACAATCTTAGACAAATGTACCGGATGACTTTTATAATTTACATTATTCTGCATATCACACCTAAAAACTATATACCGGTATGGATAAAACAATTACTGTTTTATAAACATGCAACATCGTAATGATGGTACTTTAATGATCTTCGAAATGTTGCATGTTAACTCGGTATATAGTTTTTATCAAGTAATGTTCAATTCCTAATTACCATTCAAAGAGGTTTTTCTATGTATAAGACTCATTCACATGTATATATAATCAGTTATGCATAAGCACAATATTTTGGGGGGTTTTGTTGCACAAATATTGTTAAATTTACCAAACACACAGTTAAATATTTTCGGGGGATTTTGTTCCATAGAAACTGCTAAATTTACCAAACAGAGCTTAAATATTTACAAATTATGACCCATGAGACTTCTTGATATGCAAATTTTTAGAAGATAACTATTTTGGACCAATGTTGCACTTGAACACACATCTAGTGATTCTATGTGCACTCTTGTATTTTAACAGTCGGTTATCATCTGTGCTTATTTTCATTTAGCGGAATACTTATACTTAGAACGGGGTAACCACTTTAGAACAACAATGCTGTATATGTTGTCTGTAAAACATCAGGTGATATAGATAAAAATATACTTACAGCTCCAAATCTATGCAATACAAGATATGCTTCAGCTGTTGGATTCATTCCAATCTGCTCAAGTTTCCAGTTTATAACCTGTAATGAGAGTTAACTCCCTTTAGCCACAGAATTATCTTATACACATTCACTTCAAATGTTGTTCTTATACATGACAATAAATATGCTCTGCTTCTACGAGATGAAAAACCGAGCTCCTGTGTACACATTGGATTGCACGTAAATGAACTCTTTACTGTTGGAATTCGATATAAGAATAGGCCTAGACCGTAGTGTACACTGTAGGCCTATAGAATATGCCCGTCTTCATTAGACCAGTTGGTGGAAAACAGTAGGACGTTAAACCACATTTCATTTCTGCATGTATCGGTTGAGTCATTTGACCAATACAAAAGATGAACACTCATTAAATCGCTACAGGAAAGGGGAATTTCAATCTGGAATTTATATACTAGGCCTATCTATAATAAATCATTTGTCAATTATGTCCTAGCTTTCATCATTGTGACATGATTCCAATCAAAAAATGATAATCAAAAACACCTTTATTATTTTATTTACTAATATGCAACGTTAAATGCCAAATGTACTAACCCCAAGGACAAACCATATGAACCAGATGAATAACATAGATACAAGCTCATGGTTCTAAAGATATCAAGCCAAATTATTTAAACCTACCTATATCAAGATATCTACCAGAAAAGATTTATTTTATTTTGGCTAGCAGGTAATTAGTATATCTTCAACTCTATAAACCAACATTAGTGTTGCCCAATAACAGATTTTACCTATCATATATTAGCAAAATTTCCTGGTATTCGATGAATATGCTCAGAGGAAAATAATCTAAGAGCCTGACAAGGTTATAACTCTGTATTAGCTGAACATAAAACTCAAAAAAAGTGTTGCCCAATAACAGATTTACCTGTCACATTTAAACAAAACTTAAACAAGATGGCATTGGATGAATATGCTTGGATGGAAAAAAATCTAAGAGTCTGACAAGGGTTAGAACTCAGTCGTATGATGCATATGTTCAACGGCGTACTGGACTATTTCATGAGTGGGGTTTCTCCAATTTTTTTTTATTAGCCGAATACAGGAAAAAGTAACTTTCATACGATATGAATACTGATGATATTAGTGCAATTCTTGGTACTGGTACTATAGATTGAAATAGATAAAAAAGCATTGTTTCCCAAATATCTTTGATAGTAGAATGAATGTCCTCCCTTCAGTAGATCATGTTGCAATCAAGAATGTCTTCATCTACATACAATATATCAAGGCCTGGAAATAACGGTTTTAGATGTACCTGACAAAATGTCAGGCACTAATGAAATAGTACCCGACATTTTCAACTTAGTGCCAGACATGTATTAATAATATCAATAAAAAAGACAAATCAGTGCCGGAGAAAATGACAGACACCAGAGGTTTTGTGCCTGACAAAGCCTGATTCTGTGCCTGACATTGTAAGTGACAGGTGCCTTATTTCCAGGCTTGAATATATCCCTTATTGTTTTAGACCTACCTGATCTTTAAGACTCTCCATGACAGTAGCTGTAGAACCTGTACAATGTATAATACATAGTCCGCTAACTCTTTCAGGTTGAGCCATCTACAAATATAATATTACCAGATACTACAGATCTCAAATCAACAATTTTATTTCAATAATTTGCTTGCGCAGGATGACCTGGACAAAACACACGAGGTAGGGCAGGTGACTCTACTCCTTGTCACATACAAGGTTGGGATCGAAAACCTGTCCACTGGACCACCCAACACCGGCAAGCTACTAATGTACTTTTCATTATCAAACCCTTCTTTTTAAAGTGATCCTACCCCAATTCCCTTCATTAATCCTGTATGTTTACTTGTAACATGGACAGGAAATCTTCCTTTGTTTTTTCGTTGAATAAGCAGATTGTTTTCCCTCTAATAGATTGGGTGGAGCTTAACCGTGCAATAACTAGACATGTTCAATGTTCTTGCACTCTTTTGCTGGTTTACACTAGTTTTAGTAGAAATCATATAGAGAAGTGGGGTGGGTTTTCTGTGCAATATCAACAAGCATGTTGAGCAGGTGTCAATGTTACAAGTCATTTATAGCACACTTCATTCGTTAACAGGTTTAACATCTCGGCCTATGACCTCAATGTTTAAACCTGTTAACTCATGAAAGCCGTGCTATAAATATAACTTATCCAGCATAAGAAATCCATGTCTACAAATGCATCAAATGTCATCTGAGTGTTATATCAACACTTTACTTTAGTTATTTTGGGACATTATAAGATATTAGGTGGGCTATATTGATCAGCAGCAGAAATTTCATCTTATTCTACATTTATAAACGAGAGAGAGAAAAATAGGATTTTATGTCCGCTCAACACAAATTATGTCATTTCGTGACTATCTATAATTCGGTAATAATATTTGTTGCACTTCTGAATGCACACTGCTAATTTTTTGCACGTCTTATATTTTTCCCCTCTATGCCAATCGCATCGAATAAAAATGTTAAATGCTGAGAAGAGCTTTAAAAACTGAAAATCCACTTTGGAAAACCCCAGGCTAGTAGATTCTTGACAGTAAAATAGATGTGAAATTAAGCCAAGATCAAGAACTTACAGCAAATCTTGTGATAACATTTGCTCCTGCTCCTTCACCTAATCCAATAACTTCCTTTACACTGAAATTAATTAAATATATGTTCAGATATTTTTGTATATAACACTGCGACCCTCTGTGTTCAAATTGAAAACAAAAATCATTTTAAAGTTAAAAGAACAAGCCAGCAGGTGGTCTCTACATGTTCACCATCGATCTTAGTTAATTGGTACTGATGTAATGAAATTATATACCAATTTTCATCACTCTCACTCAACTATAATCAAGGTTCACCTTCACCAACTGTGAACATTCTACCCCCAAATTAGAAGCAGAGTTACTACATTTCAGAAAGTGTATTGGACGGAGAGACCAATAAACCCATTTTAATAGTCCCCTGCGACAATTACGATTGTTAGTACCAAATCCTAATCCCATGTATCAGAAGATATCATGAAAATTAACAAAGAAGAACTTTAAGACCTAGTGATATGTATAACATACCCGAAAGTAATTTTCGAAAATATATAAGTATCAAGATATTAAAGTAAATAAACAAAAGAGACACTAACACTGTTTTCATAGTCAGATATAATTAGACCAACGTTTCGAAGAGGTACTCTCTTCTTCTTCAAGGTAATAAAAAAAAACGTTGGTCTAATTATATCTGACTATGAAAACAGTGTTAGTGTCTATTTTGTTTATTTACTTTAATATTTATCTAGTGAAGAACACTTCCGTATCGGATTCCTCGATCCACTGTTTTCATATTCCTGTTGGACGTGGATTCTACACAATATTTGTATCAAGATATTGATAGTTTGGGTTTATCATTCTGCAATGTATTTTTGGGCATGAGACATTTCATTAATAGACAGGTGAATATTTATCCTGACATACTGACAGCGGAATCGTAGGTTTTAAACAAGCCAGACCCCATTCTACACGAACTCAACATTGATTTTCTCATTCCCAGTCTACCCATATATTCCTGTAACTGTTCACTATTCTAAGATATAAGATTTCAAAGATGTGATAGCAGTGAAGTCAATATTAAGGGAATGAGGTTTAATGGAGACTACTATTTTGTTTGGCTGTGTGTGCAATGTATAAACATAATTTTCCTCCAACTCAAACTGGCACACAAATAGTAATAATATGATTCAAACTGAATTCATTCTAGCAATAACATTCTGTAGTATATTATAACAGTTCACCCACATGAATTTGAATATGTTTTAAATTTGTCAAAATAAGGGAAGAAAAAAAAATGAAAGATAAGTTTGATAATATTGTATACAATCTGATTAAAATACAGATCTATATTTCATTTCGTTTTTTATACTTTCGATGGGCTACACTACATAAAGATCTGACAAGTTATAGTGGGAGTTCACGTCAAGGGTCAAACGAGAGGCTTTTGACCCTATGACGTCAGACATTGATAAATCAATCAGTGTTGATGTTTCTAGTGGTTTACCCACAGTTCCGTGCATTAAAAGGCCAAGAACTCGCTGTAACAGACCGTTTCATTGGCTAATCCCTCACATCATTCAGAACACGTCAATAATAACAACTCTTCCCGATTCTAGTGTAGTAAAGACAAGTAAAACGAAATTTTGAACTATTAAACGAAATGAAATAGGATCTGTGTTTTAATCAGATTGTATTGTCAATTAATAAAAATAACTTGACAAAAGGATAAATTATAGATGTATTTTATGACTCACTCTAACTGATCTAATATACACACTAAATCTTCTCCCAAACTCTGCATACTGGGGAATGTATAACTAAAACAGATAAAAAAAAACTCAATTAAGTAAATGACATATCATTTCTTGTTCATATATATAATTCCCAAAAAATAATTTCTACTGTTCTGCTCCAACTGGGCTAATGAAGACGGAATTCCTAAAATTCCTAAAAGCCTGAAGACAAAACAGTAAAACTTTCCTCACCTATATTTCTAAAATTAGAAAATAAGCTGTGCTAGTTTTAGAGAAAGAAACATTTTTTGTGATATCAATGATGAATGTCTTTTTATTGCCCATCAATGATTAAATTAAAAAAAACTAATTCTTTATAAAATCCAGATTGTGAAACACATAATACAAATTAAAGACCTACAACTGAGAAAAACTATAAGATTTTGCTATAAAATGAATATTTTTTTTTTCCAAAGGAGAAAAAGATATCTTTAATAAAATAAAACATAGAAAAATCATTTAGACAAAAATAATTAGTAAAAAAATTTATTAATTACATGTAGGCTACAACATAAAAAAAACCATACACAGATGATCAGACAAATACAGGTACTATAAATAAAGCCATCGACAACACAAATACAGAAACAAATTTTACCAACAAAAAACACTTGCACAATACGTAAAAAATAAAACTGAAATAAAAATATATTATTAATTATTAGAATTAGAATCTTGAAAATATTACATTAAAATGATGTACATTTCTTAGATGTTAGAAGTCCTCATAACAGATCCACACATCAAGGTGCAGTTTCATTCTCCATAGCAATAACTCCAAATAAGGGTGCAATTACAAAGCATTCTCAGACTTAAATTAAGGATTTATTCAAATTTTTTTACCTTATTTTAAGTAAAATATAGCCCTTTATAAAACTTTTGTTGTATAAATGTATCAAAAATATCAACAAGAAACTATGTGCAAAGTTTTGTGTTTCTGGATCAAAGATATTTCTCATAAACAGTGATTGAAAGTTAAGTCTGAGAATGCTTTGAAAAACCGGGACCAGATCCCATAACAGCACCAGACAACTAGTGTGCAGCAGAACTTTGCTTTTTTACTACCGGATGATTTGGATGCAGCAGAATTCTCAATAGCAGCACCACACATATTATGTGCAATAGAATTTACCACTGTTTGAAGGCAATATTATTTAAAGAAGACCGCTATCCAATTGAGATACATTTCAAGAGTCACCATTGACAACTTTTTGAATTCCATCAAGAGATGAATTTGGAAATATATACTTAAATTGAAGCTAAGGAACAGTCACCCAGAAGTTTTATGGAACTGGACCCAGTTATTATATAGGAGTACCGTAAATTAATTGCTATGAATTTGATCAATGTTAAAAAATGGATTGTATGAAATGTTTTGTTATGCATGAACTTCTTTCTCACCTTTAACACACAGTCATGAACAATTGTTTTTATTAACATGTACATGTATTCAGTAACAAAGCCACAGTGTATATGGGAACCAATAACCACCCACAAGCTCTCAAAAAGAGAGAACTATCTCCCAAAAGGATTAGTGCTAAATGATAAGGCCAGCTCAATTTTTCGCCAAAGGTCATGAGATGTAAAACAGGGCTAGCACTAATCCCAACCCTAACCCTAACTCTGGACCTAGCCCCAATGCTTACCCTAAATCTAACTCGCCAACAATCGTGTGGTCTAACCTTGTTTACATCTCACTGACATTGACAAAAATTGAGCTGGCCTTAACAAATAGATTTAGCCCTCCCAAAAAGGTATTTCATTTGCCACTGTCGATGTGTGAGCATTTAAATGAATGCAATCATCTATGAATGGACGACATGACTACAAATTGATTATTACATGATATAATGATGGTTATATGATATGAGGGATGATATATAGATAGATGTAATCAATATTATTATAATATATTAAAGACACATTATGTAAGATTTAGATAAAGAGCTAGCCATTCTTGCTATAAAAGTTCGAAATTAGATAATAAAACAAGGAATAATTTAAAAATTTCAATCAAATTACTCTATTACGAGCGAAGATATTAGCCTTTGAAGGTTTGATCAAACGTGTGCAATAATTTCAACTATCGTACTGGTTGTTCGAAGCTAAGTCTCGCTCCTCCATTTTTAGCTTAAATCAAAATATGCCTGAACTGTTCTAATCTATTTAATATCAGAAAAATCTGATGCCATCGAGAGTTGATTATGGCCTGGATAAATTAATTAATGTCTTATTAATAATTTAGAAAACATTTCAGGCCTAAAGAAAGACCTACTAAGGCAGATTTAGCTCTTGCATAATGTATGTTTAACACTATATCATATAGTTAATAAAACATTTAGGCATTCCTTCTTTTTATGATTATTCTATAAATGCTGTCAAGTATAAGGATTGCCTGCCATATTTGACAGAGCATTGCCAACCAAAGCAATAATCTGAGCCAAATTGAACAAATTTGTATAAAGTGGGTCACAGCAGTGTTTCTCAACCATTTTTATTAACAAATCCATCTCTGTCTTTAGAATTACCTTTAACCCACGCAAAGCATCTATCTAAATCACACCAAATGGTTTTTCAATACAAATTTACATAAATTTTCCAAACTATTAAACATTGTTTTATTGCTAACAATTTAGAAAAATATGCTGGTGATTTATTATGTCTCACTTGGTTGAGAATATTTACAAAGTAAAGTCTGTGATGAGAATTGGCTATAAGGAGAGTAAAATTGGTATATATTTATATAAAAAATATTGATGTACATTTTGTAACTCTGATGTGATTTTCTCGTGAATAATCTCATGCTATAACAAGAGATATAATAAAATCCATTGCCCTAGAGATGTTAAAGAATCTATCATCTTTATTTAAATGTAATTAATTTTAGTTCTTATTATTGCTTCAAGCCAATCCGTCAAGGACGCATTAAATTTAGATTCCAATTTGTTAGTATCTTTGTCCCTCATATCATTATTACCACCACTAACACAGATGCATGTTGTCCATATTTAACAGTTTACATATTAAAGCCAAAAGGTAAGGGTGGAAAAAACAACAGGTGCTCTCAATAATTTAGATGCCCAAGAAGATCACTAGTATATCTATATTCTCTAGTAGAGAAAGATATCTATTTAGCAGTTATTGTGTTCAAAACTTTCATGATTGATGCAAGGCAAGCTCGAAAATAAGGCACCTGTCAAAGACAAAGACAGGTACAAATTCAGGCTTTGTCAGGCGCAATCCCATTGATGCATGTCAGGTGCATGTTTCTCAGGTACAACTAAATTGATTAATCTAAGGCCTGATGATGTATTAAATGAATTAATTAAGATACAAATTTGTGATAAATTTCTTTCTACATCTGGTCAATCATGTTCTAGTCTTTTAACCTTTCAGCATGACCACCCTTTGTTTTCAATCTCTCCACCCTTTGCCCTATCTAATTCTTAAAGGTGGACATTATGGCGTTTGCCCTATCTAATACTTAAACGTGGACATTTTGGCTTTTGCCGTATCTGATGTTTTAAGCTGGACGTTTTAGCCATTACCCTATCTAATTCTTAAAGGTAGGTTTTTGACCTTTGCAATATCCAATTCTTAAAAGTAGGTGTTTTGCCCATTGCCCTATATAATTCTTAAAAGTGGACATTTTGGCCTTTACCCTATGTAATTCTTAAATGTTGACTTTTTGGCCTTTGCCCTATCTAATTCTTAAAGGCAGGTTTTTGACCTTTGCAATATCCAATTCTTAAAGGTGAGTGTTTTGGCCTTTGCCCTGTCTAATTCTTAAAGGTGGTTGTTTTGGCCTTTGCCCTATCTATTTCTTAATGGTAGGTTTTTGACCTTTGCCCTATCTAATTCTTAAAGGCAGACATTTTGGCCTTTGCCCTATCTAATTCTTAAATGTGGACTTTTTGGCCTTTGCCCTAACTAATTCTTAAATGAGGACATTTTGGCCTTTGCCCTATCTAATTTTTAAAGCTAGACGTTTTGGCCTTTACCCTATCTAATTCTTAAAGGCAGGTTTTTGACCTTTGCAATATCCAATTCTTAAAGGTGAGTGTTTTGGCCTTTGCCCTGTCTAATTCTTAAAGGTGTGTGTTTTGGCCTTTGTCCTATCTAATTCTTACTTCTGTCCTATCTATTGGTTATTTCTGCTGGTGCTAAAGGTCGGAAGACTTCTATTGATAAAAGATACCAATCAGTATTTTTGTGATTTCTCTGAGAGCATCCACGATATTATTCATTTTGTAAATGCATATTTTGAGTGAAATTTTATGATCTTTGGGTATGAAAGCACAATTTTATGTTCAAGGTTTAGCTTAATGGTAGAAAGATCCAAAGATTTAAATTTTTTGCGTCAGGATGGTGACACAGTTTGGAACTCTACAGTGCAAAGATGTAAAGATAACATTTTGCTGCTCAATGGTTTGAAAGGTATAACGATGCGACTTGTGTTTATTGACTTGAGAACGATACTACCTGTGTTTATTATTAATTATCGAACCAAAGACATAATTTTGTGCTCAAGGATGGAAAGATCCACAGACATAATCTGGTGCAAAAGAGTGGAGAAATGTAAAGACATAGATTGGTGCTGAAGAGAGGAAAGGTAAATAAACTATAGTAAAATGAATCAAGACAGAAAACATGACAACCCACATGTAATCAGAAAATATAGTAATTGTACTCTAAAATGAATGACCTTATAACAAAATGTGGCAAAACCACAAATTCAGTATTGTGATTCATATTCTGTGCAATATGTAATTGTCATGGCGATAATAGCCATTTTGATAAACATATTGCTCTATGTATAATGATAGATATGATTTTATAGTTATTTCATTATTATGTACTGTTAGCCAGATTGGAGAATAAAGGGTATGTATATCTAGATGTGCAGTGGCATGCAGATAAGGGAGTGGAGGGGTGGAGGACCCCAGGAATCCATTTTAGGGGGCATTAAGTCAAAGAAGGAAATTAAAATTAAGTTTTTAATAAAATATGAAAATTGTTGTACATACTCCCCAATTTAATTTGAATAAAAAGTTTATTTTATCTTTTTTTTACATATTTAAAATATCTGGGACTAGATCACATCTTTGATTACGGGCCCTATACTTGAGTCTTTTGATACAATCAAGGTATTGGCCTCGGGGATCACTAAACCTCTGCATGCCACTGTCTATAGAGTTACTAATAACAGGAACATGTGGTTACTATGAGTTATTAATAAGATGACCATACAGTATATGTTATCTGTAGTATGTAGAATAATAAACTTTCTCTAAAATATTTACTAAAATTCATTTTAATTTGTTTAGAATTTACTTCTATTTATTATTTCTCAGCACATTTATAACTGAAGCAAAATCTCAACATAGTAAAATCAATAGATATTATAATCTATTATAAATTGAAAAATAAATGAAAATAATAATACTAAATTCATAATATTAAAGTCAATAATTCTATGAATACCATTAATTGAAATAAATAACAGTTTTTTCCACCCTAGATTAAATTATTTGGCTTTTGGTTGAGAGTTTTTTTGGCCATATATAGCCATGCATCACATCCAATCATGCGGAAAGAGGATATGTCTCACTTCATTACCAAACGCTTATTCCTGAGCCTTTTCTTGGTGGCCATCTGAAATCAGGTGGTTAGTTTTAACTACATATTAAAAAGTATAATCTAAAGAATCAAATTAAAAGAAATAATGAAATGGTAGAAGAGGTCAGATAGCGGATGTCTACGTTCAATTTTCACACCAAAACATTCTTATTTCAACACAAGGTACATGTATAAAAGGAAATGTACAAAAAGCAAACTGTTAGGGAATGTTTTTTTGAGAGTAGCAACGGGATGTGGTTAAAAAAAAATAAATTAAAAAGTACAAACAAAATGTAGATACAAGTACCTTAGAGTAAAAATTTTGTGGGTTTCGGAGTAAATCATAATAAAAACAGGCACAGAACCAGAAACAGAGAGGGTGTGTGTGCTTCCCTGTTTTTGTATTGTCATAGAGAGAGAAATGGGGTTTAACGTCCACTCAAAACAAACCAGGTCATTTCGGAACTAACACATGGTTCAATTTTTAGCGGTAGGGGTCTTTAGCTGTGGGAGGAAACCAGAGGACCCGGAGAAAACACACTAGATTGGACAGACGACCCTACTCCTTGTCACGTACAGCTGTGGAATCGAAACCACGCCAGTTGACTCAATAACCCCCGTTTGTATTGTCATATATGGTACCATTATAAATGATCATATGCCTATTCACAGTCACACTTATTTTTCATATTGCAAATGCTTATTCTCTCAGTAAAGTCCCTCTTCTATTATTCCTCCCCCAATTCTCTAGCCAAACTAGAAGTAAACCATGTTTAACTGATTTCTTTGAAAATTTTGCATTTTAAGAGCATATATGTGGAATGAAAAATGGATACACTCTTTAGCAAATACATTTTAAAGAAAAATACATATGCGTGTAAAAAATTGAGAAATAATTTCCAATGGCGCCACTTCTATTAACAATATCATGGACTGCTTGAAAATCCATCGATTGGAATCTTGGTGGCTGTACTTTTTATATACGTCGTATTTTAGGACGAATAAACTGGTCAATGGAAGAGACTATTGTCGACGTGTGAGGAGACACAGTTCGATCAATTTATTTATCTGTAGAAGTCTTTTCTTCACGGTAAAACCTACTCAACGACCAGTGTAATATAAAGACTGTGATTTTTTTATATTGATTATATGCCGCGGAGATTTTACGACATTAATCACCATATTTGTACTAAATATACAATTTGACAGATAATATCATCAGGGTGACAAAAGTGATAGTAACTAATGTAGTAATAAAGGTTGATTATCCCTTCTTAAGGGGAGATAATCTTATTATCTTTTAGTCAGTCGTTAATGATAATGATAACTGATAAGGTCTGTGGTTTTTACTTGTGAACCACATCTGGGCGTTTGTACAGTGTAATATTGTAATGTCTGGTTTCTCATGTGAGTGTTAGTCAAGTGATAAAGTGATGAGATTTCGTACAAGACTTTAAACATGTTAACCATAAGTTGATGCCGCTAGGGGTATGACCCTTCACTTCGCTATTTTATACAAATATAAAATTGTTACATGCGTTAATCAATTAAATACCAATTCCAAATTCTTAGACTGCTGGAGCTTCTCGTCTTAGTCAACACTTTTTTTTGTTGTTCCAAAGGACCACTTACAGATGCCCATCTCTCCTACCCCGCTCCGATAAATATAAGTATAAATATATATAAATTTATGCTACCAATTATGTATTTGTTTACTATAACTCTAGATAATGGCAGATACATGTAGGTAGTGGGGGGGGATGGCCGAATGGTTAGCACGAGACAAGGAGTAGGGTTGCCTGTCCTACCTCGTGGGTTTTCTCCGGGTCCTCCGGTTTCCTCCCACTGCTAAAGAGCGAATTATTGAAATAAAATTAAACCATATGTTAGTCCTGAAATGCCTTAGTTGTGTCGAGTGGACGTTAAACCCCATTTCTCTCTCTCTCTAAGACAGGTAGTAATTAACGGTGGATAACAAATAATATTTTGCTTGGCAGTAAATGTTATTACGCATGTCTGACCTTCTAACAAGATGGTTCAGACACAAAGCTGCTCGATCAGAAGCTCTTGCATCTCTTGTAGTTGCCTCACTGGTTGAAAGATGCGTTGCCAGGCAATGAAACTTACGCCCCCGCCCCCAATTGATTAGTCAAAAAAGATTGTCACATGTTGTGATCTCATGAGCATAAATATATTTAGTCAGCTGATTTTAACAACCTGGGGCCGGTTTCACGAAATTTTAACCAAGATAAAATCCAAATTTTAGTAATTTGATTGGATAATATTAGATTGATTTTAGTGCTTAGCCAATCAAAATTGAAGTGTCTACTAAAATTTTGATTTTATCTTTAGTTAAGATTTCAAGAAACAGGGCTCTGATCATAAACGTCTGACATTCTGTCGTCAATGTCCTGACAACAACATAATGACAACAATACCCTGACAACACACTTCTCGAAAAAATGTTCTAAAAAACAATGTCCTGTCCAATGCCTTAAATACAATATCATGTCAACAATATCATCTCAACAATGTCCTGACAACAAGCAAATTTATATGTGAACAAATAATGATGTATGTTTAAAAACATACATGTACAACATACGTGGAACAAACTATCATTAGACCCTCACGGAAGTCCCACACTTAATAAATTCAAATCTGACTTGAAAACTTATATCTGTTTAAATTATATTATTAGAGACTTGTGTTATGCGCCATGAGCAAGTTTTGTGGATATAGCACTTTTTAAATGGACATTTTATTATTATCATTATTTAACATTATTTTATCACATATAAATTTGAGACTTTTAATTGCCAGAATGCACCGGACGCACACTCATTATACAGGTTGTTACAGAGAGGTTTAAACAAATCTAGGATTACAAGTGTATTCTTTTTCAACACTTTAGTTTCTGTATGGAGGTACCAGATAAAAAATTTCATTTTAATGGCTTCAAAATATTAATTCCCAACATTTTTCTTAGTTAATAGAAATGCAGTCTCTCTCTACGAGGTTAATTATCAACCGCAAAATTGCTACATCAACAATCCATCAAATTTTGTTCAATTTATTAATCAAAAAAAATATTCATTTCCTGCAATTGGACAGATTTCAATTCTGCCACTGATCTATGTCAGGTGAAATCAATACGGCTTTAAAATGTTTTTCATACAGCAAGAAAGACTCCTGTCAAGATGCATGACCAAATAAGAGAGAAAGAGAGAGAAACAGGCCCCAGGTTGGTAAAATCAGCTGAATAAATAGAGGATATTTGTCGTTTTAGAGTGAATAACATATTTTATTTCATCGAGAAGCAAGAAAACTTATATTTTCACGAATGCGTAGCATGAGTGAAAATATAAACGTTTTCTTGCTTAGAGATGAAATAAAATATGTTATTCACGACAAAACGACAAATATCCTCTAGCACGTGCTAACCATTAGGCCATCCAACCCCCACAAAATAAAAGAAGATCTTATACATGTATAATACAAATATTAGAATATTCTTGGGTATTATGGTACAAATATTAGAATGTCTGTGGCACAAATATTAGAATGTCTATGGTTCATCTATTATAGGTTGTTGGAGAAAGAAATACAGAAAGACACAAATTGAAATTAAATGAAACGTCCTACTGTTCTGCTCCGACTGGGCTAATAAGACAGGCTTTTGCCCTACAGTGTGCTATGAGGGAAATTTTTGCCCTGAGAGCAGAGCTACAGTCTACTATCATATCGAATTCCAACTGCCAAGGGATCTTTTACGTGCACATCAATGTGTACACGGGACCTCAGTTTTTTTTATACCATCCAAATGACTAGACAGCTGTCCTTGTCAGGCCTTCCTTCCTACACCACTCTACACAAATTAGGTCATTTGAAGACTAAAATATGTTGTAGAATTTTAGAGTGCGCATACTGATCTTTCATAGTGGGAGTATTAAACCAGACCAAATGACCCCCACAAGGTTGGGATTTTCCATTTATGTATTTTATTACAATAAATATTATTACAATTTTAGAGTGCGCATACTGATCTTTCATAGTGGGAGTATTAAACCAGACCAAATGACCCCCACAAGGTTGGGATTTTCCATTTATGTATTTTATTACAATAAATATTATTACAATAATAGTGTGAAATATACCATGAAGAGTGATTTAAAGGTTTACAACAATCGGCAACTTCACCAACAATCAATGTGTCTATTGTGTAATAATGTTTTGTTTTGTTTTAATATTAGGTTCTTCAGGTGACAATATGAAGTGCGATTATCCAACAAAATGACATCACTGATGGATGGTATATGTACTTCAATGCCATTGATAGGATTGTGCTAGGGGGCTTGGTTTACAGATTAATTTTATAACCACTTATTTTTTGTTTTAGCCACAGTGGCTATAAGTGGGTAAGAAGCTGGCTCACTAGCCTAGAGGTCGCAGGTTTGCTCCCGGTGGTGGCAGATAAAGTTCATCAGGATTTTCCGGCGTGTTTTCCCCTTGTCAGGGGTGTAGGATGGAGGGCCTGACAAGAACAGCTGTATAGTCATTTGGATTGGACAAAAAAACAAGGTTCCATGTACACATTGACAAGCACATAAAAGATCCCTTGGCAGTTTGAATTCGATATAGGACAAAATTTCCCAAATAGCACACTGTATGGCATATGCCTGTCTTCATTAACCCAGTTGGCGCAGAACAGTAGGACGTTAAATCCCATTTCATTTCATTTCGTTTTAGTAGTACCATATCTACTCTGCTATGGTGGTACTTTTCTTTCAAATATATAACAGACAACCATTTTGATAAACAGACTGATAATATTTCTGATAAAATTCATTCTTTAAATTTCTTATTTAATTATTGCAAACTAAGTCGAAGAAAGAATCCTATTTTGTACTTTTAGGAAACAATTTTGGAAAAGTACAAATGTCAATATAATCATTAATTTCAGACAGATAACTGATGTACATGTATAAAGATTGTATTATGTGAAAACGTTATCTTATCTGAATTTACTATGATCT